GTTAATGGTGAAGATGATGAAGAAATACAATATTTATATGTTAAAACTCTAAGCCATATAAAGATGGTGGTGTGTGAAGAGTATTTTCTACTTTTAAATATGAAATTTTCGAATGGGTAGAATACACCCCATATTGTCCTTAATAGTCACTTCATTGAACGATATTATTGAAATATAAATTTAATCTATTAATGGTGTGTACTGAAAGTATTAGTGGTGTGTAAATAGAATCATCCATTAGTAATTCGTAAACTCTATTTATATTATGTTTGGTTGTAAAAATTGGTATGGGATTATCAATCCCTCTGATGGTGGGATTAGCATTCCCCTTGGAAGTTTGGAATTGTTAATCCAATCTCATGAATTGGTAGTTAAAAGATGATTTTGCTCCTCACTTTATAAAATTAACAAAGTTGCATCATATGCTAAGTGTTTTTATGTAGATTTATAGATTTAATTCAAACTTACTAATCCCACCACATTAGTTTACAGACAAACACACTTTACTTTACATTCTCACCACTTAATCTCATTATACCTATAATCTTATCTAAACTAATTGGACAAACACACATGATCTAAGTAAGGATTTTTTTTTTCTTTTTTCTTTTTTTTTTTTTAAATTTATGTCACGTTTGACAATTCAAGAAAATAATTAAAAAATAAAAAAATCACTACAAAAAATCAATTAATTCTTTTTATTTTTTTTTATATCTTTTTATAAAAATTTAAAATATTACTAAAAAGGTCAATCCTCAAATCACCCCTAACTTAGGTGGCAAATATAGAACAAGATGGTGGTGGTCAGGTGGAGGAGAGGTGATGAGAGAGCTGTAGGAGGATAACACAGCCCATTTTCAAGTTTAAAAGGCCGCTGAATAACCAATATTGCAAATAAAGAGCTTGTTTAGAAAGTTAGCTATTCCACTTAGTATTTTACTATTTTAGTTTAGCTAAAAAAGTTATGTTTGAGGATGTATATATATATATATATTTTTGTAGTTTATTTGATGGTTATGAGAGAAAAAATAAAATAATTATTATTTAAATTTAATATTTTATTTTATTAATTATTTTAACCTATTTTGTCTTTAATAAATAAATATTTTAACCCAAAACCTTTCTTCTCAGACAGGGCTAATCTCATTGTCACACGAGAGTGACGACAACTCTATAAGACGTACAAAAAAAATACAAACACAAAAATGAAAAAAAAAAGACTGTTTGAACACTCGTTACATTACTCAACATAAAGTGATCAACACCAAAATTTTATTTATTTATTACTTCTTACATCCTAAAATATTAATTTCTTTTAAGAAAATTAAATTTTTTAATATTATAATTATTACACTTACAAAATATTAGCTTTCTAAATATACCCTATGATTTAAAATTAAAATAGTACAATCTTCTTTAAGAATATCAATTTTCATAATTATACCTTTCGTGTATATTAATGTTAATGAATTAAAAAAAAGGACAAAATAGAAAATTAACGTTATTTTAGTCTTTAATTTTTGAAAATAGACTAATATTTTGAAATAATAAAAAATAAAAGAAAAAATTAGTGAAACATCTCTCTCCAACTTTGTGTAGTAGAAAATGTCCAAGATATTTTGTTTTTTATTAGTTAAGATCCCTCAACATTTTCACAGAGAAACTTCAACTCAGAGAAACTTTACCTGACTCAGAGAAATTTCAATTTTTATAGAGAAAATTTTCTAATTTTACAAAAAAAAAAGAAATTTCTTTGGTATGATCACAGAGAAATTTTGAAATTTCTCTGAGTCGAAAAAAATTTCTCTAAATCAAATTTTCTTTGTGAAAATATTGAGGGATCTTAACTACTATGAAAATATTATACATCCTTTATCTTATCAAATTTTAATATTAAGGACCTTAAAAAAAATTCCAAAATAAAATAAAGAATTAATATTTTGGGACACATGCAATAATTTTTGGAAAAATGATTTGCACCCCCAATTTTGAAGACCTCCAGTGACCCCCAGCTGATGTGGCAGCACGTGATTGGTTGAATTTTTTTTTTTTTTTTTTTTTTTTTTTTTTTTGGCCCCAAAACCCCCCCCGGGGGGGGGGGGCAGTTTGTTATGTGGAGAAGCAAGAAACAAGTTGTTGCTAGGTTTAGTGCAGATTGCAGAAGCAGAATATGGTGCTATGTAACATGGAGTTATTGAACATTTGTGGCTTCAAACTCTACTGAAAAACTTGGGGTTGGTGTGTGATGATCCTATGAAACTATACTGTGATAATAAGGCTGCTATCGATATTGCTTATAATCCTATTCAACATGATCGAACCAAACATGTTGAGATTGATGATCATTTCATTAAGGAAAAGTTGGATACAGGTCTGATTTGTACGTCGTTTGAGAAATCTAGAGATCAACTTGCGGTGTTTTCATTCTCTTGTATTCAAGTTAGGCATGAGAGACATATATGAACTAACTTGAGGGGGAATATTAGTTTATGAATATTCATTACCTCTATTTGCTTAAGCACTGGCATAACCGCAACTAGAAAAAGGGCAAATCTAAACCAAACAAAGAAAGTAACTAAATAAGCAGTGAGAAGATATGGGACCTAAAGAATAGGGGAATGCAAAAAAAGTAATAAGAGAGGTGCACAGACCAATCAATTGTATTGGTCGTATTCTTGAATTTGGAATGAAAACAGAATTAATGCTTCCTAGCACGTGACACAAAATAAGATCACTTAGATTAGAAAAGCATTCATAGAAATGTTCTTTACGTTATTTCATTAATGGCACTCTTGTAATTTCTCAAACTATTTAAAATAAATACCTAGGTCTAGGGATGAGAAAATCATCTCATTCTACAACCATATTTTTGTCTTGCATTATCCTCTCTCCATCTCTCTTTTTCTTCTCTTTTCTACTTCTAAATTAAGCACAAAAGCCGGGCCAGAGTGAAATGGTGGTGGGATGACAAGGGAGAGTGGCGAGAAAGAGAGATATAGCGATGGTGGTGGAATAATCGCGATGGTGCTAGTGTTCTACTATACAAAATACCGTTGATAGGGTGATGGTAGAGATGATGTTGACCATTGTCAATAATGGACGGGAAGGTTTAGGTTCATCTAGGGGATCCATTCGTTTGAAAATGATGACAGGTAAAGAAAAGGAGAGAGAGAGGAAGGATGGTTAAAGAAAGAAAGTAAATGAATTGTTAAGGGCAAATTACAAATACCCCCTTGAGGTTTGCCTAAAATACTTTTGATTCCCTATGATCTTGGAAATTACATTCCCCCCCAGAGGCTTATATTCACATAACAAATTACACTTTCTGTTGATAGTCGGGTGGAGAAGAATGATTCATGCTGACCCCATTTGATGGGAGTTAAGGGTTGGTTCGGTTTGGTTTAACAAATTACACTTTCCGTTAGTCCACCGTTAGTTGACCTAACGATTCATGTTAATATGAACAATACAATTTTATAAAGTACTCACTTTACCCTTGTAACACAAACAAAATAACCCCTCATATTCTGCTTGTTCTTAGCAGCCAACCCTACTATCCACCCTCGCCTCACCCCAAACCCACCCTTACCTCTTATTCAACCATCCTAGCTTCGCCTACCACACCCAACCCCCTTCCCTAGAAGCACAACAATAAATATATATATATTTTTTAATTTTCTATGTAGATTAATATTACATCTACAAACAATCAAAATTAAATCACTTATGTCTTTTTTTAAGATGATATATTAATTATTTAAATTTAAGCAAAAGCAATAAACATTCAACATCCAATATGCATCAAAAGCACAAAAGAAAGGGGGATAGCAAATTAGTTGGCGTGTCCCTAGAGTGTCCCCTGGGAAAAAAAAAATTCAAATGAAAGGACACGCCACATGGTGAGTCTTATACGTGTACCCGTCGTTTCCTCATGTCCAACACAGCTACGGCACATATTTTGGAGTGTTAGTGCCTCATAGGCCACTCCCCACCCTCTCCCACCACTTCTTGATCCCTTTCCACTCCTTTCACATACTCAATCGTCACTCCTCCACCTTCCCTCACCATACCACAACAAAACCGATACTGGCTTGGACACTGTGCCATACGATACGATATGGATACGGTGATATGACAAAATCTAAAAAAATAAGATATGGGTACGGCTAGGATATGTTTGTGAAAAATATAGTTTTTAAAATTATTAATAATGACACATAAGCCAAAAATCGTTGAGAAATCACAATGTAATTTTATAATGCAAAATACTAACCTTTAAGAATTAGGTATTAATTTATGCTAGTAGCTTGTTTACCTTTTAAATTTTCAATAGATCTTGCAAATATTTCATTTATATTTATATTACGATAATAGAACAATCCGCAACTTGTCTATGTGCTTTTCTCTTTGACACTAGTAAAAAAATATTGTATTTAAGTTTACTTGTTTGTTTATTTATTTATTGATATTTAATTTTAATATTGTTATATGCTTTTGTTAATCCTTACTTTCCATGTAGTTATTGGAGACTTGCATGAAACAATTAGGATATATCAATTTGACAAATTCTATTATTTAACGCACTATGTTCTTCTCGTGAAAAACTAAACAAAGTATTAGAAAAATATTCTTATATTTATCCTTCCAACTATATTATATTATAATATTATGTAAGAAATGCTATAATTCTAATTTCGTGAAACAAGTAATACATGACTTGGAGTATCCGATACTTCAAAATTAAGTATCCAATACTCCAAAATTAATTAAGAAGTATCTGATATTTTTAATAAGTATACAATACGTATTCGCGAGTATCCAACAAGTATCGGTATCTGATACGGATATGATATGTATACGTCACTCTATTTGAAGTATCTGTGCTTCATAGCTTTTATACAACCGGTCCCAAACCCAAATAATGGAGGAGGGTTGTGTGTTAAGTATCTTGATAGTTAGCATGTAAAAATTTCCATCAAATCTTTTATGAACATAAATCTTATTATGAATATTACAGAAGTATGTCTCTAAAAATTATGTTTCGTATAGGATGATAGGGAGGAAGTCATACAGGCATGGTACATGGATGATAGTGACGAAGACCAGAGACTTCCCCATCACCGGGAACCCAAGGAATTTGTGTCCCTGGAACAACTTGCTGGTACACATCTTCAAATACAATATATTCTGGGGTTATCAAATCTGCAAAAGATTTTTTAAGTCAAACCTGATGAGCTATTGTTTTAACTTTGCAGAACTTGGAGTGCTCAGCTGGCGGTTAGACGCTGATAATTATGAAACAGATGAGAAATTGAAGAAAATTCGTGAAGAACGTGGATATTCTTACATGGTATTTTTATTTTTCTCTCTGATTTTTTATGGAGCAGCTAGTTCTTATCTTAATTTTCTTTCAAATTTTTTTTTTTTGGGAACAAAAAGGGAAAAGAAAATGAAAATATTTCTTAAAGTAGACAGATTTTGTGCCTGTAAGTTCAATTTGGTGCAAATTTATCTTCAGGACTTTTGTGAGGTTTGCCCGGAAAAGCTGCCAAACTATGAAGAGAAAATCAAAAACTTCTTTGAAGAACATCTTCATACTGATGAAGAGATCCGCTACTGTGTGGCTGGAAGTGGTAAATTTAGTTGAGATTTGAATTGATTTTGTACTTCCTGTCTATCAAGTTGGGCCTTTTAATTTTTTACATTGTGGTGAAGGTTATTTTGATGTGAGGGATCGCAATGATGCTTGGATTCGTGTCTTGGTAAAGAAAGGTGGAATGATTGTCCTGCCTGCTGGAATTTATCATCGCTTTACACTCGATACAGACAATTATATAAAGGTAATTTCGTAACATATCAATAGCAATTTTACTGGATTATATGTACGCACATACAAAGCAGTAGTCCTCTTTTTCTCTCCTTAGAAATCAAATTGTTGCCAGCAGCGGATATTTGATGACATTCATTCGATTTTCATTCGATTTTCATGCTATATGAGTTTGGAAGATTCTCTTTTTGACCCGATCAGACGAAGCAAAATGAAATTTTGTCCATAAAATTGCAATATATATATGTTAACAATAATTACCCTCAATATTGAGTTAAAAGGACATTAATACCATCATCTTTGACTTGTTTGTTACTTTTGTAGGCCCTATCAGAGTTATAAGGTTTAAAAGTGAATAGAGTTGGTGATATACATTTGATCTAACACACCACTGTACTTTTCTATTAGTATTTTTTAATAATCGTATGTTTTTTTTCCATTTTTACCTGTGGTTCGCTGGCCGTCCATCATGACACGGGAGGTTCTTGCTGATTTCTCAAACCTCAACCTCAGGGAAGGTTGGTGCAATTTGCCCAATAAGAGGGAACATAATTATATATCCATAGAAAAGTATCTATTTCTATTTGTATTCCACATTGGTTATGTTCATACTTACGTGTGTATATATTATAAAATTTCATTTTCCTTGTCCCTGCATCTATCATTTCTAGATTTTGAGAAAATCTTTTGTTTTGGGTATCACATCAGTGGTACTGCAGTTGTTTTGCATCCTAACCCATGTTCATGCAACATGAAGTGTTAGTGGGCTATTTGATTAGTTTATAGACGGAAGACTATTTGACTTTGACCCCTAACTAGATGTTCATCTACTCATGTGTTCTACTTGCTAATGAAGAAATATCCGTTTAGCCCTTGGAACTGACCCTGTGAAGCTTAATCTTTATGGAAGACCAAAAATAGAGAATTTTTAAAGTGGTAGTTTCTTGTTATTGTTGGATAGTCCCTGAATTGTAGGGATGATTCAGTCCCAAAATTATAAGATTAACGCCTGTTGATTTCTACGCCAATACGCCATAACTGAGTACTTGCTAGCTAGTAGCTACCCTAAAACTCTGAATCAGCTGCATTCATGTTTTCTGCTTTTAAGTCATTGCTGTTGGACTTCTTGACATATCATCCTTGCTCAAAGTGATGAACACCATTTGCAAAAGGCTAAAAAATGATTATTGTCATCAAGAAAGACATATATTTGTCTCTGATGAAGTATATAACTGTGCAGGCAATGCGGCTTTTTATTGGTGATCCTATTTGGACTCCTTTCAACCGGCCTCATGATCACCTACCTGCTAGGTAGGTCTTGACCTTTATTCTTTTTCATTTTTGGATAATTCGAGATTTTGGAGCCAGCCTCTAATCTAAATAAAATTTGGTTTGTTATTTGCAGAAAAGAGTATGTTGAGAACTTTGTGCACAAGGAAGCTGCCAATCATGCTGTTAATACTGCTGCAGCTTGAAATCTGTTTTTTTGGCTTTTAAACGTTTGGAACTATTCCGTGACTTCTTATAAAAAAGTGGAAAATGAAAAATAAAGAGAACTGTTGTGGCTCTATTATACATATCTTTACCTGCGGTCTGGTATGCTTGTGTGACTTGCTATTATAGAATAAGTTCATGGAATGCAAGTTATAGACTTAGGCCAAGTTTGGGAAGACTAAAAAAGTGCACTTTTTGTCTTTTTGGACTAAAAAATTGAGGTTGAAAATATGGATGTTTGGGTTAACTTTTTGACTTTTTATTGAAAAATGTGTAATAAAAAATTGTAAAAATTGATTTGTAGAGAAAAATTTGAATTGAGAGTTGTGCAGCCGTAATTGTTGACTTTTGGTGAATAGTATTAACTTTTTAGCTTTTTGAGTAACTTTTTGACTTTTTGACTTTTTTGCATCTTCCCAAACTTGGCCTTAATAGTCCTATATATGAAAGGCATATTATGTAAATCTGATTACATGAGATTGTAGAGGTATGTGCTTATATCATGGCTTATGAAAGGCATATTATGTAATCTGGTTACATTATTTAGATGTTTTTTAAAAAATTTGTTAATGGCTGGCATTAGAGCACACATTGAGTACATTTTGTATGAAAATGTGTAATAAAAATTATACAATTACTTTAAATTTCTTAACATGTGTCTTTAGCCAGCACATGCCCCCTTTGAAATTGCACTTTTTATCTCTGCCCCGTAAGAACTCATCTCATCTTAAGACTAGGCAAACATTAGTTGACAGCCCAACCTCACCTCAAATGGGCGGTTTTGATGCAATGGACTAATGGATGTGGGTCGTCGGGTTTTGCTTGAGTGACGAATATACAAATTTCAATCCTTCAAATCTCGCCGGATCTGCACCCTCCATACACCGACCTCCTCGGTTACCTCCTCGGTTTTGGCTTACAGGAGTTTGAGCACAAGCCCATGGTGGAAGTGTACTTACCTGCTGGTTTGAAGTTGAGTTTTGTTCCTTTTTCAGTTTTGTTTTTTGGTTTTGTTTGGTTTTGCCTATAGAATCCATGTTGCTTACCCACTTTGTGGTTGTATTCTATGATCTATTCTCGGCATGTTCTACGGCCATTTGTTGGCTTATGCTTGCAGTACGAGCACAAGCACTTGTTGTGTAGTTGGGTATTCTTCATAGTTTAACTCCTGTGTTTTCTTTGTTTCTCGTCTTTCTTTTGATGGTGCAAGTGATTTTTTGGATGGATTCCTCCCCTTGCAAGTGTCGTTTGGCTTCTTTAATGGATATTCCTCTTCTGATAAAAAAAAATAAAAAAAAAAATTCTAACTTGATTGCATGGAATTAGGAGCACTCAGTCCACTTCGTTGTTTAATTCAAAATTTAATTTTTCTTTTAATAATGTAAAATTAAGATTTGTTCAATCTACCTGATCTACATTCACCTTTCAATTTAGGGTGAATTACACTAACGGTCTCTATAATTTGGGGGTTGTATCACTTTAGTCCTGACTTTTTAATTGCGACACATTTGACCTTGAATTTTGAATCTTGTTCTAAATACGGACAATTAAAGATACCATTGCTTAATTTTAAGGGCAAAATTGTTAATTTGATAAAATATAAACTAATTTGACAAAATGCTTTAACATCACACTCTTTTAACTTTGAATTGATCATACCTTACAAGCATTAAATACAAAAAAAATTTAAAAAAATTGATTAAAATTATCGAATGTGGTCTTTTACATTAGATAATAAATTAGGAGAGATAGGTTGCAAGTGTGGCAGACCTCTGGCTCAAGCTGAATTGGCAAGAAGAAGAGTGGTCAGAGGTAAGATGTGGAAGCTTCATAGGATGGTGGAGTGGATTTGGCACCAAAAATCCAGATTGAACTGGACTCTCAATGGGGATAAGAATACTAGGTTTTTCCATGTTTTTGCCAATGCCAGACAGAGCAGGAACATGATTAACTCTATTGAAGTTAATGGGGTATCTTATGAGGATCCTCACAGGGTTAAGTTTGAGGTCCATCAACACTTCAAGAAACAGTTTGCGGAGGATTGGGTTACAAGACCTGTCTTGGAAGGGGTTTACAAGACCATTGGGTTAGATTATGTATCTCAACACCTGATCTCAGAATTCAGCGAAGCTGAGGTTTTGGCTGCAATTAAGGACTGCAATAGCAATAAAGCGCCAGGTCCTTATGGTTTTAACTTGTTGTGCTATCAGAAATTTTGGAAGGTCATGAAGCCCGAGATTATGCAATTTTTTGCGGACTTCCATTCAAATAGCAAACTGACCTATGGTATCAACAGCACTTTTATTAGTCTGATACCCAAAGTGGACTATCCCACTGGCCTGTCTGAATTCAGACCCATCAGCCTTGTAAGTTCCCTTTACAAAATTCTAGCTAAAGTACTAACACACAGATTGAAGCCAATTCTTTCCTCCATCATTGGTGAAACACAAACTGCATTCATAGGCGGGAGGAATATCCTAGATGGGGTTTTCATTGCCAATGAAGTGGTGGATGGATGGAAAAAGTCCAAGAAGCTCGGTCTAATTTTAAAGCTAGATTTCGAAAAAGCTTTTGATTCTGTGAATTGGGAATTTTTATTTTCTCTTTTGTCCAATTTTGGGTTTGGGAACAAATGGATTTCCTGGATAAAAACTTGTATTACCTCAGTCAGGATCTCCATTCTTGTGAACGGCTTACCCACTACTGAATTCTCACCACAAAGAGGTCTTAGACCGGGCGACCCGCTCTCACCTTTTCTGTTCAATATTGTATCTGAAGGTCTTAACATGCTTTTGAACAGAGCAATTAATCTTGGCATACTTAGAGGAGTCCATGTTGGGTCAGAGGATGTTCTTTTGTCTCATCTGCAATTTGCGGATGACTCCATTATTTTCTCTGAAGCAGATTGGGATCAGATGGTGCTTATTAAAAGAGTTCTAAGATGCTTCGAAGTTTTATCTGGTCTGCGAATAAATTATCACAAAAGTGTGGTATGTGGTGTTGGTGTGGATGATTCACTCTTGCTCTCCTTTGCAAAGCTCCTCAACTGTCAAGTCCACAGCCTACCTCTGAAATTTCTAGGTCTACCTCTTGGAGCCAACCCCGGGAGAAAATCTGCATGGAAACCTGTGCTTGACAAATTCAGATCCAAACTCTCGGGGTGGAAGCGAAAACTGCTGTCTTTTGCAGGCAGGTTAACACTAATCAAGTCCACCTTATCTAGTTTACCAATTTATTTTCTCTCTTTATTTAAGATGCCAGAAGGTGTGGCCAAAGAAATTGAGAGGATTCAATTAACTTTTTTATGGGGTGGAAACGACCTGAAAAGGAAAGTCCACTTAGTGAAATGGGGGAGGCTGCAAAAAGCATTAATCAAGGGGGCTTAGGCATTAGAAGAATAAGAGATGTAAATGCATGTCTATTGCTTAAATGGTGGTGGAAAATTGGAACTCAGATTAATTCTCTTTGGAGGAGGGCTATATGTAGCAAATACAAGATAGATGAGGCTTGTTGGAATCCACCGGTAAGTTTCTCCTACAAACATTCTAGAGTGTGGAAAGACATCTTATCTATTGGGAACCATTGCAATAATATTTTCAATTTTTATGCGGATAATTGCCTTAAGAATGATTTTCCCCTCCTTTTCAATCTCTTAACTGATAAAGATGGTTCTCTTCATCAATACTTTGATAGAAAAACCAGCCCAAATACTTGGAATTTTCCCATTAGAAGAACGATGTTTTCTTGGGAATTGGAGGAAGAAGCTAGTTTGATTGAAGCCCTATCATCAGCCCATTCTGTGTCTCCACACGAAGCTGACTGTTTTTTCTGGGCTTGTGCTACTGTAAGCAGTGGTGAATTTTTTGTTTCCTCAATTTACTCTTTCAGTAATTCCACACTTGGTCCTCATCTTCCAATTTGTAATCATATCTGGAATAGAGCTGTCCCTCCTAAGATTTCATTTTTCTGTTGGTTGGCTTGGAAGAACAAAATTAAGTCAGCAGAATTTATGCTCAGAATTGGTATTTTAGACCCATCTGTTTCCATCAGTTGCACCTTCTATGGCTTTGAATCTGAATCAGCCACACATGTCTTGCTTCACTGCCCCTTTTCATGGCAGATTTGGTCCTCAATTATTCATGAATGGGGGCTTTCTTGGTGCATTCAAGATTCAGTTGATGGCCTTCTTCAATGGTGGATGAGAGTAAACTTCAATCACTTTGATAGATTAATTTGGAGAGCTATCCCGCTCATTGTTCTTTGGTCGTTGTGGAAGTGTAGGAACGAATGTATTTTCGAAGAGGCTCAACCAAATATTTCAGATTTGAGTGAAACTATCAAAGTCAGAGCTGCACTATGGCTGAAAGCAAACATCAAGGACCTTCCCTTCTCAGTTGATGATTTAACCTTCAACTGGAGGCAAATCAGAGCTGGGAATTCAAATCTTTAGATGGGCTGCCTTTGCCAGAGCTTCCTTTCTGCTGGGTTGGACTTTGATCTGCTGGTTATCACTGTGGTTTGTTTATCTGCTGCTGTTAATCTGGTTTATCAGTTGGGGTTGCTGATCTGTGGTGCTATCAGTTGGGGTTGCTGATTTGTGGTGCTATAGTGTTGCTGATCTAGGCTTATATATGAGCTGTTGGGGTTGTTGATCTGGTTGGTTTGGTGATAGTCAGTTTCTCTGCCCTGTTTCTCTGTTCAGCATTATCAGTTGGCCGACTTTATTGTCTCTTTGCTTGGCTTTGTTCAGCATTATCAGTGGCTTTGTTCATCTCAGTGCAGTTCTGTGGTGCTGGTCTGTGATTTTTTTTTGGCTGTTATGTTGATCTCAACTCTGGTGCTGTTATGTTGCTTGGGTCCATTTGGCTGTGTTGCTGTCTCTTGGGTCCAACAGTTGAGTGGTGGTCTGAGTGGAGGTCTACTTGTTAAGCTGGTTTTGAGCCAAAAGGGGCTAAGATTTTAACACTCTGTAGGATTGAATTATGGTTCTGTCTGCTGTTATGTGAGAACTCTGCCACAAAATGCTCCCTCCACTGTGTGTGAATACCTCTGTTTTGGCTGATTTTTGCTGCAGTGTTACAACCTCTGGGAGTTTTTGGTTATGCTTCTTGTTTTTTCCTCTCCTTTTCTCTTTGTTGGTTTCTCACCAACTGGCGCTTGGGGCTTTTCAAGCCCAAGCTCCTCTTTATTGATGTAAACTTCATTCCTTGAATGTTTTTTCAATAAAGATTTTCTTTACCGATCAAAAAAAAATGTATTGGTTAATTGAAAGGTAAATCAAATGAGTACAAATATATATAGTCTAATAGAATCAAATCCTAACAACCTAAAGACTAAATTATCCTTAATGAATAATATAAACTGCCATAATTCACAATGGCATGGTAACTTGGTCTGACTTAACCTCTCGGGTTGTGAGATGCGTTTATTTTTATCTAGATTCACGAGGTTGTGAGAGGTTTACTATTATAGATTCTAGATTAAAGAATGATTCACTAAGTTCCAATCCCCTTTATCATTAATTAAATTATTGACAATATGTCATTTGATGTCTGGGGCATGGGGATATAACAGCCAGGATGGTGATTTTAGACCCGTTACTTACAATACATATTGTTTCCTTTCTGAGATTTTTTTTTTTTTTTTTTTTCCTAGTTTTAACGGTACTTTTCCGGACATGAGATTCCCTTCTTTCAAGGACCAATTAAAAAATTCACGCTTTAGTTCAGATACATTTCATGGTTTTGGTGCAGTCTTTTGTGAGTTAAATATTAATAATCAGAAAATATAAGAGTTAAAAAGCATCCTTCATTCAACACTATAATGTGATGTTAACACATTTCTTGTTATTGCTAGGACAGCACATTATTGCATTTTGCAAGCAAGTATTTTTAAATACAACTCTTTAGTTCAGATACATTTCATGGTTTTGGTGCAGTCTTTTGTGAGTTTAATATTAATAATCAGAAAATATAAGAGTTCAAAAGCATTCTTCATTCAACACTACAATGTGATGTTAACACATATCTTGTGATTGCTGTCATCGAAGCTACTGGACTGCAAATTGTTGCATTTTGCAAGCAAGTATTTTTAAATACAACTCTGATCCAACAACAACAATGTTACACCTAAACATATAATACAATCATATGGGATACCCAACACAACGAAAACTGAAAATTAAGACAAACAAGAAATAAAAGAAAATGAAATTAGAATGATCAAGTTGGTCTCAAATGTTCTTTTGATTTTCCCACTAGAATGCTAATTCTGATAATGAGTGCCGCAACGGATACAGGTCGGTATACCACTGAGATTGAAAATTACAGGAGTATCGGCCGAGTCCCTGTACGTATCGGCCTGTAACCGTTACACAAGCCGCGACGGACCGATACTTACCAGTTCAGACCGATACGGGAAAGAAAAGCTGAAAAACCTGCAAAATAATTTTTAAAATTTCACCGCCGCGACACTCGATTTCCAATGCGTACCGATCGATACTACCGATACTGATACTCCGCGATTGATACCGTTACGTTACCCGATACCGCGATTTAGAACCTTGGTTTAGACTCTCTGTTAGCATCACTGCATTCATCTTTTGCTCTGCATAGAGTGGCCAAGCAATCAGAAGCACGCCATGGATGACGCTCTCTAAAATTGAGTTGCAACCACAATGGGTTAGAAATCCACGGGTCGAGTGGTGGCGCAAGACCTCAATCTGTGGTGCCCACGATGGCACGACCAGGCCTCGCCCTTTCGTCCTCTCCAAGAATCCTTTTATCAAGAAGCTAAAAGGGTCGTTTTGGCTTTGTGCAGTGAAGAATGCAGCATTGGCAGACTTGTCATTAGGGCTTTCACAACCCACAAAAATCTTTGGCCGCTCAATTCTAGACCTAATGCTAGCTCATTAAGCTGGTCATGAGAGAGAGTCCCACCACTTCCGAATAATACAAAAAGGACTGACCCACTTGACTGATCATCCAACCATTGCAAACACTCGGGCCGTTCTTGTGACTCATCACTTGAATAGGTTTGGATAAGCGGTCCGATCAGGTAAACTGGCTGCTTGCCTGGCTCCTTCTCTTGCAAAGCTTTTATAGCTCCCTCTTCCAAGTCCATGAAGCTATTAAGAATTATCCCCTCAGCTGAACCGAACCGCTTTACGTCTCCAAGGAACCCCTTGTAAGCGTCGTTTGACCTGTCTTGAACCGAATCCGTGAGATCTCTACCATAAACGGGTACGCAACCAGGGAGTCTTATCGGTTCAGGTAGGTCTCTATACTCGCACGTAATCATGTCATCAAGCTTCGGCAAATGCAGGCAAAATTGCAATGCCATGGCTGGTGAAGTGAAGAACAAGTATTGCGAGATGCTGAATTCCTTGGCTATATTGAAGATGTCGAGGCCAAATGGATCGACGATGAGAGAAACTAACCGGGTAGTCGTCTTTAATGAAGCTAAAGTCTCTCTAAGGGACGGAAGAGAAAGAGTCGTTGTGAGGATGATTTGGGAGCCAATATTGAGGTCCATAGGTAAGGACACGGGTGGAAGGAAGATGTGTTTGATGGTTTCAGGAAGCGTTTTTTTTTTTGGGCTTTTGTGGGCGTTCCAGCAGCGGTGATGAGGATGGTGGCGGAGAAGTGGTGGTGGTTGACGAGTTGTTTAGCGAATTCTACAAATGGGATGAGATGACCCATCCCTGGACTTGGTAGAAGAGCTACATTCGGTGTTTGATCCATGGATGATGAGAAATATATGAATGAAACAGTTGTGTAGTTTTGTTGCTGAATTCATAGAACATTGTATTGTTTTGTCCGTGTTTGTTCAAGTTGTGCTTTAATAAATTTAAATGGAAACATTGTTTTTTTACCTAGTCATTAGTATCAAATTGAAATGGAGAGAGAGAAGTTTGAGACCAGTGATGTAAATGAAGAGTGTACTAGGAAGTGTAGTGGGATTATATATTGAGGGCATGTGTGAAATGTGGTAGTTGTTACCGACAAAATCAGTAATGATCGACATTTTCACAAAATATTATCATCACAACTTCATTTATTTGTGATTGGTTTAAGTAAAAAAGAAAAAAAAAAAAATACAAATACATCATTGATCCACATCACTATGAGGATGGTAAGAGTCTCCCTAAAAAGGGGTCCCAAATATTATTCCCGACAAAATAACTATAATACTAATTAGATTGCCATTTCTTATTTCGCCCAAACCAAACAATTGTTCAAAATTTTAATTAGTCAGGGATACCGTTGTATCTTTGATTTTACAAACAAATTAAAAGTGAGACAATTGATTATTTGTAACTAATGACTCGTTTGGTAATATCACTTTTTATTTTAAAAGTCAAAAAGTCATTAAAAAAACTAAACAATCAAATTCTTCATCTGCCTTCTGCTAGCCATAATGTGAAAGAACCTAGTGTTTTTATCGCCAGACTGAGTCCACATCTGCCTAGACTTTTGGTGCCAAAGCCTCTCCTTGCTTCTACCCAGCTGCCACACCTGGCTCCTAACTTCTCTTCTTCTCGACAGTTCCACTTCCACTAGAGTTCTAGACTCTGCCACAATGACAGAGTCAAGCAAATTCTTCCTCTGCCTTCTGCTAGCCATAATGTGAAAGAACCTAGTGTTTTTATCGCCAGACTGAGTCCACATCTGCCTAGACTTTTGGTGCCAAAGCCTCTCCTTGCTTCTACCCAGCTGCCACACCTGGCTCCTAACTTCTCTTCTTCTCGACAGTTCCACTTCCACTAGAGTTCTAGACTCTGCCTTCAGATCCCATTCATGAAGCTCATCCTCAGCCTTCTGTAATTGAGTATCAATATTACCAAACACCTCCTTGTTCCACAGCCTTAAGTGGCTCCTAAGCAGGTTTAGTTTTCTTATCACTCTAAACCCTGCCCGCCCTTGAACTTGGGCTTCCTCCCACCTCTTCTTTACCTCTGAAATGAAGGATGGATGAGATAACCAGGCATTGATAAATTTGAAAGGCTTTGGTCCCCAATCCCTGCCATCTTCCTGTAACAAAATGGGACAGTGATCTGAGATAGACCTTGGGAGACCCCATTGCTTAAACGAAAATTTTTCCATCCACTTCACATCTAACAAAAATCTATCGATCCTGCTCCACCTGTTCCCATCCATGGCATTACACCAAGTATACTGCCTCCCAAGCATAGGCATATCAGTTAGTTCCAATTTTTCCACAAGTTCATTAAAATCCTTCATCCCCCTATCTCTGGATAAACAACCCTTCATTTCCCCCATAAATCTAATTTCATTAAAATCCCCTCCAACACACCACGGATTTGGAAAATGGTGATGAATACCCACAAGAGCTTTCCATAACTGCCTCCTCCCAAGAATGTCATTAGGAGCATAGATATTTACAAGGGAACACTGAAAAGAAGGATTAGAGGTACCTGATAAAATGATGAAGTTTTTACCACTGCAACAACTCTTAAGTTCGAAGATTTGTGGCCTCCATATAGACAGTAGACCTCCAGCACTTCCCACAGAATCCACCACCATATATTCCATTTCTTCATAGGGCCAGATAGATTTCAAAAAATGATCCTCCATAATTCTTCTCTTAGTCTCCTGAAGAAAGAGGACATCAATCCCTCTCTCCCTCACCAATCTCTTTATCTTTCCCCTCTTTTCTGGTCTTCCCAAACCTCGCACATTCCACGATAATATCTTCATTTAAGCACACTAATGATTCCCAATCTCCTCCGGACAGCCCTCTAAACTTCGGTTGCCCTGCCTCCTCCTCCAATTCTGCTCATATCCTTCTCTTCCAGCTCCACAATTCTGCCCACAACCTCTTCCTCTTTGCCTTGGTAGTCCATACCCAGCTCGGTGCCTACTCTCACTGATGCCGAAGCCTCCTCAACCAGTTGCTTCCTTCTGTTCGGTGCTTGGGATTGAGAATTTGAAACCATTAGTGAAGCTGCTACTTCTGCCGAAGCTCTGAGGATAGCTCCCCGTTGGAAGCCCAGCCTACCAACTACACCTCTCCTTCGGTCCGTGCCTTTTTTCCAAGACTTTCCCCTCCTCTGTGCTTCTCCAACCCGTATAAGACTCCCATTTGCAGTCCGTTGAACCCTTTTTCTCTGATTTGGTTTATTTGTTTGGGCCTCATCTGGTCTACTTAAAAGCTGAGCCATATTCTCACTTAAATCCGAGCCCAACTCCTGATTAAGTCCAATGGGCTCAACCTCTTTCTGTACTCCTTCAATTAAAACTTCTAAATTTATGCCGGGCATTTGCCTACTTACTTTCTATCTATTTTCAAGATGCCTAAAGGGGTTGCTAAGGCATTGGCTAAAATTCAATCAAATTTCTTGTGGGGAGAAGCAAAGGATGGGAGGTGTGTACACTTGGTTAAGTGGGGTGAGGTTACTAGGAATAAAAGTCAAGGGGGCTTGGGTGTGAGAGATTTGGGTGAAGTGAATGACTGTTTGCTATTAAAATGGTGGTGGAGATTTGCGACAGAGGACAAAACCTTATGGAAATCAGTTGTTTGCTCAAGGTATGGACGTTCAGGAGGGGATTGGGCACCAACTTTGTCCAACACAGATGGGGCGTCTACTGTATGGAAGGATATTGTGCAGCTCAGTTTAAATAACCAGTCTTTGGGTGAGTTTTATTCCCAGAACTTCAAGCTATCAGTAGGAAACGGGACTCTTCACTCACCATCCCCTTCCTTCCCGCAAACGCTACCTGAGCACTCTTGCAATTACCACCATTGCCATCCACCTGGTCTACCTTAACTTCACCTTTGGAATGCATCCAACCATGGTCTTTGCCTCTGCTCTCGGAGTAACAATGACATAAGCTGTTAGGCAACTCTTCACAGACTCTAACCGGGATTAGATTTCCTTTATGCTGCAAAAAAATTGTTGTGTTGATCCACTCCATACATCTCGTAATCACTCTGACTCTAGTATGTTGAAAAGTTAAAGGGTTATTGAAGTCCTCTTCATATTGAACAACAAGCCCCCAATAACTGCCTATGCTTCGAGCTGTCGTGATACTCCAAAGGTTAATGGGGATGCCAAAACAATGCAGCCATACTCATCTCCTGATCTTCGAGTCGAATCTAAAGACTCTTGCTCTTGGCTAGCATCAACATCAGGTAAGTTCTCAACATCATCGGTGTGGAGTTGGTGGAGTGCAAATAAAGGCCCTGAGTTAAGAGTGCCAGCTGGGGTGTGGGTAAGCCTGGTACCTCCCAAGATGCAGTTCCTTTGCTGGCTTGCTTGGAGAGGCCGCATTAAGACTTCTCTCTTCCTTCAGAGGATTGGGGTTCTCCCTCTCAATGCAGAGACCCAGTGTGTTTTTTGCCAATCTGTTGTGGAGTCGTTGGAGCATGTGCTGCTGTTTTGCCCACAGGTTTGGAAGTGCTGGGCAGCTATGGCTAGTTGGTGGGATCAGCATTGGGTCATCCCGGGTTCTGTTGAGGGTTTGCTCCTATGCTGGTCTGGGAGTAAAGCGAAGTCTTGGGTTCACAAAGCTTGGCAGGCTGTTCCAGCACTTGTGATGTGGTCTGTATGGAAGTTAAGAAACGAGTGCAGATTTAAGGGGGTTAATCCAGATTTTGCAGGTCTAAGTGAGAGGTTGAAACTGCAGATTGCTCTGTGGGTGAAGTGGTCCTTCAGGGTCGATTACTCAGTCCATAACCTTGTCTCAAATCTCCATCAGATCAGGCAGTGCGTCGATTAGGAACTCACAGCCACTAGTGCAGATTCTCAGGCCCAGAAATTGTTGCGCAGCTCAAGGAGAAGATAAGATGGCAGGAAGGTTCTGGTTGTAGAGGTTCATCTGCTGACAGATCAGGGGTGGAGCAGTGTTTTGGAATCTGTTTTTGCAGACATATGGGCTGAAGGCTGAGTGGTCTGGTGTAATCTGCATTGTAGTGCATTGCATTGCAGTGTTCTGGTAGCTATACTGCCGTGGTCTCTATGCTGCTTGGGCTTTAATCTGCTATAGTTCTATGCTGCCTCGGGTCTGTTTTGCTGCAGTTTTTTGGCACTGCAGTGTGGTTTGTGTTGTTCTGCTGGGAGCTCTGCACTTCTAAGTTGATCTGTTGGTGCTGGGTAAGCTTCTGGTTGCAGTGAAGGTCCTATTTGATTGCTTTGGTGTGCTTTGCATTGGTAGATGATCTATTTTGCTGCTGTTTTGTAGGTTGGTCTATTTGGGCTGTTGTTTTTCCCATTGTTGTTCTCTTCTTTGTTTTTCTTCTTCTGGAGTTTGGTTCCTCACCAATCTCCTGGGGGTGAGCTAGCTTGCTGCTCTTCCCCTCCTTTGTTGATGTAATCTCTTGTTTTGTATGGTTTTTGCATTTATAAAGGTTCGCTTTTGCTGATAAAAAAAAATACATAATTCAAAAAAAAAAAAAAAAAAAAACTAAACAATCAACAATTTATACAAAAAAAGTTAAAGATTTCATTTTCTTTTTACTTTTTGCACATCTTTTCGTAAAAAATCAAAAAGTCATTACAAACATACTAATTTTTTTTTACATCATGTTTTAACTAAAAAACTAAAAAGTTACTAACAAAATATGTTCCCAAATGAGGCTTGATTTCTTATATTTTTGTTAGATTAGTTGTTCACAGGCATATCTGGACCTAAAAAATTACAAGTAAACGTGAGAGTATGTTACGGATTTGTAATCTCAATCTTGTGGTCTAGTCTAACCAATTAAACCGACCGTATATTTACTCTTGAATTTGTTTTTGATGGTAATAAGAATATTGGTTATTTTAAGTAATATTATAATGATCATCTATTTTAATTTTCTCATTTTATCATATGATGTCAGTATTATGCTGAAGATAAACATAAATGTTTTGTTGACAAATAAAATAATAAAAATTATATATAATACGGCCACATTATGGAAAATTTATTAGAAATTTTTCTTTTAAATATTTGTATCCTAATTAGTTCATTAGGTACTATTATTTTAGACATTTTATCCATCAAATTTTAATTCTTATTAATGTATTTTATGGATAATTTTAACCTTACAAATAATTTGTGAATCCTTAGTAACCCGATATGCACTATTTTATACTATTTTGAATGTCCTATGATGTGAACATTCACATTAAATAAATTTAACAGTATAATGTTTAGATTGACAGTGTGATTATTTATATCATGAACCATTCACACTATTTATAAACATTAACGTACATTTATTAAGAATATTTTAATAATTATGTTACCTATAAAACTTATTAAAATTTAAAAAACCAATTTCAATTAAGTAAAACAAGATGAAGAGAATTTATGAATAATTATCTCTAATACTATTGTCGTGGATCATCTACAGCCCGGTGATCTCATTTTATTAGAGGACTGACCTTCTAGGAAAGGATGAATAGCTGTATTAGAAATATCTTCTTTTTTTTTCAAGTGAACATGTGAGATTGCGAATATCATTTTTATTAATTTGGTCGACTAGTGGTACTGGATCTGAATTTTTTCTTTATCAACACTTACGTTCATTAAAGCGTAGGCTTTTACAGATTGATTAATGATAGTTGATCAAATTTAAACAAATATAAATAAATAATACATTATTGTTTTTTGATGGCAAATAATATATTATTGTTAAAGTGTATATAATGTATAATTTTTTGATAAATATCCATGTTGTCCCAAAAATTATGAACGCATAATAATTAACAACAATAATAGTAGGTTTGGGGATATATTTTTGAGTATCAACACGTGGCAAGGTGACGCCGACGTGTCAGCCGAGGTGCCACGTATCCAGATCATATCGCCGAGATGATCTCGGTTAAGCTGAGGTTATCTCCAAAAATATCAGAATCCGAGATAAGCGGATAAGGCACAAGAGTCCCAGAATGAGAGAAGACTTCAGTTAGAAAAGGATCAGACTCTTAGGGAGTTTATCCTAATCCTACTGGGAGTCCAAGATTGATAGTAATCCTAAGTCCATTAGAGCTAGACTCCTGTTAAGATAAGGATTGAGTTAGCTATAAAAAAGAGGCACCTCCATGGGTCTAAGGTACGCAATTTATATTCTGTCTAATGAGTTAAGCACTATTGATTATCTTTGAGAGATATACTGACTTGATTGTCGGAGTGCCCCCGAGTGGACGAACCACTGCCGGAATCTTCTCTTTCTGTTACAGGTTAGCTGGGTTTCATCTATTCTGCCAGTGTTCTCCAGCTGAATACTGAGTTGGGCAGTGTGATCGGAAAATCACTCACACAATTTGGCGTCGTCTGTGGGAAAGAAGGTAGAATAGATGGCCAGTAACGGACAGAAGGAAAAGATTGGGGACGACACTCCTACTGGGAGTGGGAGACCTATTGACCTTGACGGCGAAGGAGACAGGTCCAACGCAGAAACTCATGAGCAAGCTCACGGAGTAAAAGACGTCAGCCAGACTAGCGACGTACCAAAGAAACCTGATCGAAGTAGGTACTACAACGAGGACGACCTCTAGGTTTGGAAGGATAGGTGCCTACGGAGGGACAAAGAGGTAAAAGAGATGGCAAACAAATTGGCAGACCTGCAGTCGGTCGTCAATTTCATGATGCAAAATAACGTCATGCAGCCACCGTTCCCACTGCAAGACACGCCAATTCCAGCGGCCAATGCCCAGAAGGGAGGGTAGAAAACAATCCCCGTAGCTCCTCAGCACAACGGGAGCGAAAGA